GGGGGGGGGGGGGACACATGGTTTTCAGGGACCACGAAGGGAGGACCAGTCGTCTCTATCAGAGTCGTTGAAACGGGGAACTACAGAAAACTGACCACCAATGAGGGGGGATCAGTAGAATACTAGAGAGCTTTACGGGATCAGGTAAGTTTTGTTGTGACAAAATCAAAATCCACGGACTCCTCACACAACCCTCCCCTCTCCCTTCGCCGTCAGGGATAAATGATGATTGGTTCCTTTAGACGTAAGCAAATGTAAATGAGCAAAAAAATAACCAAATTTTGTACCTGCTACAGAGCATTCCACGACACACAGAGCGACGACAGCAAACGCCAAAACTACAGGGCTCTTCATTTTTAGCTTAAAATGAAACAGCGAGAAAATTCATATGACCACATGGAGGAGATATAGATCAGTGTTGATACAATATCACCAGCGGAGAAAAGCCATTCATAAGAATTAGCAAATGTATAGATTAGATTCGGATGAATGCCTTGACGTAGTACCTCTCCTTTGTGGGAGAGATGAGACGGCATCCACCCACTCCTCCCTCTTAACTGTTTTTTTGTCAAAGTGCAGGGAGTGTCTCTCTCTGTCTTATCTCACAAGAATAACAGACGAACTAACAAGCTAATGAAAATCATGTAAAATAATCCAGCCTGACGGTCCAAATGGAGGTCAGGAATGACTAAAGCCTTGAAAAAAGTTTAGGCTGCTCTAAGCTCAAGGCATGTTTTGAATGTCAAACCTAATCCCACGACTTCGCATCGTGTGAGCAGTTACTTTCGCCTACGAGATTTCCTTTTGTGAAGGTTTCTCCTTCGTAAACTCGGTTTCGACTCCCCTTATCTCAATCCTTATTGAAAAACTGAAAATATATAAAGGCACTTACTTTGCACAACTTGCATAAGATTCTAGACGATTCTCGACGATTCTCGAAATTACTTAAGTGGTCCGTATGAAACTGAACAACTTATGAGCTGGAAGGACTGCGTGCAGCTCTTTAATGTAATTGGAATGTAGATCCTTAAATCCAATAATAGGTACTCCAATGTGGGAAAGCGCTCGAGGCCACAAAGCGGGATACGGGCTGCGACGCATAAACAGGAAACCCTTTGATCTTCAGTTCTTCTTCAACCCTTTTTGCTCAGTGACCAAAACGCTTGTCGGGGGATTAATTCTGATAAACTAAGTGCTTGAGGTGAAGGACGTTTGGGGACGGAGGGTGAAAATTTTAAAGCCTGTTGTCGAAAAAGCCATGTTTTCAGAGTCAATTTATAAACTCATTCTTGTACATCGTAAATCCGCTTCTGCATAGTGGCAAAGGAAAGCTGAATTCTATCTTAAATATGACCAAGACTGACATTTTTGAAGAAAATTTTGGAGACGTGAGACAGAAAAAAACAAAGGAAATCAATTTGCATGCTGTCTCATCGTTTTTCCACGCCTAATATTTTGTTCCTAACTCTCCCTTTCTGCGGTTCCAAAATTCCCTTTCAAGTTGTTAATTGCAATTTGAAAATAAACTAACTGAAGAATTGTAAATTCTTAACCCTTTTTTTCTTTTTGGAGTTTTACGTCATTTTAAACCATTTCTTGAAGGCAAGAATGCTAAGGGTCCTTTTATGTCAATATTTCTGATATTGCATTGCTGGAGAGTGCCTACGGGAAGGTGAAGATAAAAGCTTCTTTAGGTTTTTTTTTTTTTACTGTTATGATTATGAAGTACAAAGACTTTCAGTTCATCAAAATAGATCATCAGAAGATTGAGATCGAAAAATTACTTATAGCAATAAAATTTCTTCCAGCAATAAAATACTCTACTGATTTAAGTAACTATAGTTAAGAGTATCTCATCGAATTGAAAAGTAATGGCTGTTTATGAGGCCGTATTCAATCTACACACAAGAGGCAGGCTGTTATGTAAGAATACTGTTCTTCATTAGAACTTATGGCATGGCTCTGACGGTCGTTTTAAACCCCATCGTCAAAAGAAAAAAGCGAGGGAAACAAACCAGTTGCTTAATTTCTTTCTTTTACTAGGAAAATTTGCAGTCTCCCAATGCCATCTATGAGTACGTGAAATTGATAGTGAGTGGGCTATTGTAGACCTTGAGACAATTGTGGCATAACAAACAAATTACAAGTCATTTGACCAATATATGATATGTAATTACTGTGCAAATCAGGAAACGTGCAGTTCTATTTGGGAAATTGTCTATTTATTATTTTTTTGTCGTTTGAAATTTGTGAAGTTACAGCAATGAATCTGATACCCATTTGCCTCTTAGCAAAAGCTTTATTGCGATTGATAACATACACTTCTATACATAAACGGGATAAAGTGCTTGGGGTACCAGATGGATTTAAAAGCTTCTTCAACACTCCTTGCATGACTATCGATTCCGGTGATCTTCAAAAACACTTCAAGATCATCCTCTTCTGCTCAGTGACCATAAAACGCAACTGCGCATGTTTATCGTATTGCGTAGCTATTTCAATGAAACTCAAAAGTTTTTTGAGGTAACATGGTATTATTGCTTCCAGTGATACTCAGTTTTGTCTGATAAACACTGTGTACAACTAAATCAGACTGTCCGATTATCTCCAGTGTTGTATGGAGTTATTGATGAAAAATAACCATCATTAATTAGCGGCTGTTTTGATTAAATTTGATCAAAACAGTCATGATCAATATCACATGGGTAAATTGTGCTTTTCGAGCGCTGATTGGTTGGTTCGGGACGGAATAGCAAGTAATATTCACCTCCGAGCAGCCGATTAGACAAAATCGTTTGTCAAGAGTTAAGTTTTCGACTTTTTTTCGGTGTATTAAAGAAATAAACTATTTGCGGTATAGACTAAAACAATTATTCACCTCCACTCCGGTGAAAAATTGTTACTTATTTTCGATTACGGAACACTACCCACAAATGCAAAGTACAATTGAGCAAGCTGTTAAAAACGTGCCAATCACAATAAACATCTTGAAAATGGAGAACTGAGAGACAAAAAGTTATCAAACTTTTAAATTAGGGGTTAAAAAGCCGATTGGATTAGAATTGCTTCCCTTGGGCAAAACACGTCAATGTTTTCAAACTTTAATTACTATTGTCTAACCATTGTTTGTTGCCATCACTTAAAATCAAAGCCTGAAACAACTGTTTAACAAACCCTGTCGATACTACAAAAAATTGGAAACTTGCGGCTTTATTCAAGAAACTTTTGCAGTCGATGGTTCAGTAACGCTACCGCCCTAAAACCGCCTCTTGCTCTGTCCTGGTCGACTGTTCATACATTTTCCCCCATATAACCTTTCTATAACGGCCACCTGCCGTAAAGGCGATGGTTAATTTGTGGGGTGCGTGCTAGGCGTCACAAACACTAAGAACTATGGAACTTAAGTAAAGCATGACGGTCACGGTAACGAGGACGTGTCCAAACG